GCGGAGCAAATCTGGTAACTCAACAAAGCCACAAAATATTCAGACAGTATACGCGATGATTTTCATATTGTTGCTTACCTCTGGGTTATGGGACATGTCTCTTGCAAAGAACAACCAGACGTCGGAACACACCTTCGACTTTGACGGTTTCAAGGTGAGACTAAAGTTGTTTTCGATAAGAGAGGCTCGAATCGTGATTTGTGGGTAAACCCAGCCTTTCAGTTCTCACAACTAGCATGTCGACTTACGCCTCATCCTGTAGCATTCTCTATCACATTCATCCTACCCTTCTTCGCCATGGCGACAGTCTCTCTCCTGCTCATTCCTCTCCATTCCGTAATTGTTGGTTTGAAGTTCTTCAGCCGTTCTTCTTGGGCCAATCTTAGCGTTGAAGTCGCCGACGATGACCTTGAAGAAGGTATGATCTTCCCTTCAAGAACTTCTCCAATTCCATATAGCGTTTCGTGTTCTTCCTCGTCGTAGCTTGATGTTGGTGCGTAGGTGACGAAAATTGTCGTTGTCGAAGTATTGTAGAAGTTAAACTACATCTCCATCTCCAACGCCCGATCGATCTTTAGGCTTTCGCATGAATCGATGATTTTGGCCAAGTTGACGAGGACATCCCACACTGTCCAACGCTTCTGCTGTTGCATATATTCCAAGGAACAGTTCTAATCCCGTATTGAAAACGACGTGTGGCGGGGGTGGTAGTTTCGGCATATCGAATTCAACCGAAAAGCTTCCCAGGATCTGTGTGAGGGCTGGAATAGGTCTCCAGTTAGCTAGCAAAGCTATTCCGTAGCAGAACATGGGACTCTGTTTTTCTATGGCTTCCCATGTTCTTCCCAATCTTTCAAATGCGAAGCTTTTGGCTGTGCCGACATGCAGGATACCAACCGCACACACACAGAGCGCACCACACACGCAAGCATGCATGGATGCGCCTGAGTGGAGACAGCTGGTATGAATCAACACAGCACTACAGAAACAGGGAGTCCATCCCTGAATCCACCTGCGTCTCAGGGCAAGTACATGGTGGCTTTTTGGTCCGCAATTTGCCTCTGTCCGCGACCGGCCGGAGAACTTTCAGTGAGAGAGGGTCCCGAAATATACGTAAACCCAAGTCGGAAATAAACGTGAGCAGCTACCGTTCCGGATCTTAGCAGATGGGAGCCAGTAGCAGATAAAGTGAAAAGGAGCACTGAAAGAGTAGCGGAGGAAGCGAAGAAAATCCGGCTCCTTGCTCACCTGTCTCAAGTTGCAGTCCCTAAATCAACAACGCCTGAGGGACTCCCACTCTCCGCAGGCTGGCATTGGGTCGGCGATTCGGAAGCTCGGAACTACGTCAACCGTCGATGATAAGAGAACTGTCGATTTCGCCAAGAATTGAAGATCCGCTGAATTGGACACGTCGTGTAACCTTGCGATGGCAGTTAGACAAGAGCGTTACCGATTGGACCTCACGAACGTGTAAGGAATATCTAGACGATTGTTGGAGCAACATCCATTAGAGCAGTATAGCAGGCAATAGAGACCAATGATATATTCAGCTCGCTAGAAGTACTCGTTGAAACGGGATGGCAAGTGTCGTATCTCCCTCCCCTCCTCAAGGACGGCTTCGTGGTCCTTCCAGCTCTACGCTATGGAGTAATCGAATGAATAATAGCGACTAGTCGACTGTAAACTATGTGACACTCCTTACCTCCTCTCCTTATCTCCAAGAATCGGTCGATCAAGAAAGGGCGAAGGGGAGAGGGCGGTATACGTAGTCCGCCGGAAGGGCGTGGTTGAGAGTTATTCAGATTTCTTCAACGTTCGTGAAAACCTTCCATGCTCCTCACAGACGCTCTCCTAGCATGTCTTCCAAAACTGGATCCTAATTCCACCAAAATACTAACATTAGAAAATGATTGGTCAAGAATGAGAGGTGGTTCGTTTCCCCTCTTACTCGGACGAACCACTATTTGTTCCTACCAAGAAGAACCTCCCCTTCCCTTCCCTTTTGAAAAACCCAATGGCAAGCTAACTACTAACCCATTCAAATACTTTTGTACAGGTCATGGCTTCGCTTGTTCTCCACTGTTTGTGCTTCTTTTGCGTAGTAGCATGTCTGGCGGCAAACAATGTTACTCAGTGTGCACGTGTTTTACCTCCAATTGTGGTAGGTTTTCTGTGTGAGATCATTTTTTACAGGGCTCCACAATTTTATAGACCTCATAGGTCGAAGCCATACTCGGCGAACTGCGAGTGTTGTCCTCAGGATTTGAAGGCAGTAGTCAAGGGTGTTGGGATGGTATGACGCTCAAAAGTGACAGAAGAGATACGATGTGCACTCTAGTGGAGAAAAGCGGGAAGCATCCATAAACAAAGCCAAAAATGAACCGCTCTTCTTCTACACTGCGGCGAAGTAGCCTCGCATGGGAATGCGGGTAGGACGAGTCCTCCGTAGTGTAAGCGTCATACCACTCAACAGCTGGCGGCTCTTTTTTCCTCTATCGCGTTTTGCTCTTGAAATGGATAAGCCGCGCCTGAAGGCTAGGTATAATAAGGATTAATGTTACGTATCTTGCGAGAGAAAGGCCATGCTAAGCCACGTAGGCACCTCTAGCGTTGCGCGGTCAAGACTAAGCCAAGCGGCAATACCTCGGAATACTGGACCTGGAGCTTTGTGCCGCGCGTTTCCGGGTCACGAGCATGAATTGAGCTCAGTGGTTGACCACTTTCCCATAAAATTGGTCGAATAAGTAGCTTGACGGCCTAGTCCCGATCCGAAGTGAGCCCTTTTCTCCATTCTCCGAGGTTCGCTAGGTTCGTGCATCAGAAGAGCGACAGCACGCAGAGGCAGGTTCCTGATCACAAACTTTCTCAGCCAGCTATCCCAAAATACCGTTCTTGCGCCAGAATAGTGACATGATGCACGACGTCTTGCGATACCACGACTCGGCGCCAGGGTGAGTTGTAGTCGAGAAAATCCTCAACCGTTACTCACCTCGGCCCCGTACTGCTGGCTGGCTTTGTAATGTGTAAGAATAGTTTCGGAAAATTAATCGCGCCGATAGTACAGACGGTTCGCGGGTGGCGAGTGAATGGCCGGAAGCCATGCCTTGAAGTGGCGAAAATCCTCGACCTCTTCCGTCGACACAACTCTCAGAGGGCGGATTTCACCCTGCTCGCCGCCGCCAGCTGTTTGCCATGGTCACACCCATATTAGTTGAAAATATCTTGAAGCCCTTTTTATTGAAACCCTTCCAGGGCTGCATATTACGTGAGATTACGAAGTCCAGGAGTAACGGCACGATAACACGTGACTGGTGCGCACGATGCCATATGTCATCGTGCTGTGTATTCGGGCACGTAGCCTTTTGTCGGTTCCGCGCACTCCACGACGACAAAATGGACCGTGTAGAGCCTGTCAATTGTGCTGAGCGTCTGCGCTGTATACATGTATAGTATGGCAGATAGTACGTGCCGGCAAGCGGGCGCGGGGGTTTTACCGCCTTGCCCTTGCTTCACTATCAGTCCGCATACCCCGATGCAGAGCGATTCGCGCAGCCGCTTGCCTCGCCGCGCAAGCGGCGAGGCGAGTGCTGCGTGTATTTGGGATAGTCGCCCAAGGGCGACTGTGGTGGAGGGGGTATTGTGCACTCACCAGCGAGGCGCTACACCCTCTCACGTTGGTGCTGAAACGTGTGGGTACCAGCAGTATAGAATAGCTGTGTGCTCCAGTGCCAACGTGGATTACGGGGGTTAAGCGGTCACCCAGTTGATCTGTTACCAGGTTTGTTGGTCTTGCATTCAGGTCTGGTCCTCGTGGGCTGTGCGATCGCCGCACTGCCTGTGACACACATGAGCAGCAAACGCAGTAGCCGTCGAGTTTGGAAGCAGGGTATAAGTCGGGCAGTATAGCTAGTAGTGGGACTGAGATTATCAAATAACGAATGATAGTGCACAGAAGGATATTTGTAAATTCAGCATTATCACGGTCATGGTTTTCAATTTCATTTTTAACCTAGCTGCATGTGGAGCGTTGTGGTTTCATCACGCTCCTAAATATCCAAACGGATACTCGAGAGGAATTCGAGGTGGTGCGGTGAGAACACTTCTTATAACTCAGTCTTTTCAAGCAGCGTACATAGAAAAATAGGAAATGTTCTGTGACAGCCCACCAAATGGCTTCGTACTGCAACGGCTGCTGGGAAAGCCGCTCCATTTGGGTCTCCATGAGGTCAGAGCGCGGTGCAGACACATTTGTTGGGGTCCGGCGGCGCGCGTTCGCGCTTGACCTATTGAAACTCTGATGAGTGAAACGACAAGTGTGTGCCTGCCAGCGCGCTCTGACCTTATGGGACACTTAATGAGCACCCCCATCGGTCTCCTTGAGGACACCCCTAGCGTGTCACCTTTTCTCCTGATGAGCAAAAGCGCTTAACGTGCGCTATCGCCATCTTGTCCGCGGAGGGCACGCCGACATATGTTTACGTCGTCGCGGCGTCTGAGCCTGATCGGGGGCTAAATGTTTTATAGAGTGCACCCGGTGTTTTATTTCCTTGCCTTAGAAATATGGAACGAGTCAAACCGATCCACTCCCTTCGCCATGCGATCGTGCTACCTATTAAACATTTAGCAGACATGTCGAGATTTTGCGGGTGGGTTTTCGGTCCACCATATGGAACGTATTGATGCGAAAATCAGCCAGCAGTATAGAGAAAAAGGAAATATCTGCCAAAAACGCTTTGTGAGCGGCTTTGCTAACACAATGAGGGACGGAAAGGGCAAGGAGTTTGCGAGGAGAGGCAGCGCAACAGACAAGAGGGCGCCAGACAACAATTTTCTGCAAGATGGTGGTGGAAATTAGCACGTCCTGCAGCTAAATTAGCAAGCCTTACCGCTAGTCGGGAAATTTCATTGGTACGTCCAGTGTCAGTTGCTGGGATCTCTCCTTTTGGACTCATCAACTGCTTTGGTATTCTTCTTTAATGATGAAGCTTATCGTTTAGGTAATGTCACTCATAGCCCTAGCTCTCAATCTTGGCATTATATTCCTATACTGCTATCGCTATCCAGTTCACCCCTCGCTGAGGCCAATAGGTGATCCAGCTACACTTGTGCTACAACCATCTGCGGAAGGTAAAAAGTAATTATCAAGCTTACTGAATAAAATAGAGACAAAATTTGAGATGGGAGGGTGTGCTTAATAACTTACAGCCTCTTCTCCCAACCATCTGGAGTCGAGATAATTTTGTAACAAGAAGACGAAGGGTGAAGAAATGTCGAGGTTGCAAACCCTCGCCCCCCCCCCATCTCCCGCACCTCGTCCCTGTCATACTCTGTCTCTGTCACTAAATGCTAGCTCCATAGCTGTGACCTCAGCCATTACCGACGATGAACGCTGTATAAAAAGTTGCAGAGAACTTTATAGATATGATTTTGTTTTATACATGAAAAGATGATCAAATTCGTTGGAGGAAAATTACAGGCGGTTCCAAAGAAGGTGACAAGGAAAAAAAGGACGTGAAGGAGCGGAAAACGAAGTCCGCCGAAGGTAAGAAATCTAAGAAACCTGACAAGAAGAAGAAAGGAAAGCAGTCTAAGGAACCAATCAAAACAGATTCCAAAGAAACCCCAGTTCAAGAGCCTTCCGGCGGAGCAAAAGGATCTTCTAACGATGATCAGCCCGGGTAAGTGAATTCCTTACGAAACTCTAGGACATCGTCACTTGAAGGACGAATTCACGATTACAATGAAGGTCGAAGGAGTAATTCACCTAGTGTTGAGGAACCCGCGGACCTCCTAAAGGTGCGGATTGAAGCGCAAAGCGGCGCCGAAGAGCTTGACCTCGGGCAGGGTCGGTCCTATCGTTGCTACTTTTCGAAAAATTTTTACGACCCCCCTCCCCAAAGGTGGATTTGGTACGACCCCCTTCTCGACCCTCGACCACCATATTCCTCGCTATAGTATTTCATTCTGGTATCACTCGACCCACGAAAACTCCGCCCACTTTTTCCCCCAAAAATGCCGTCGAGCGGCGCCACTCCTCCCTCATCATGCAACTTCTCACAATCGAAGCAAGTACGACCCCCCCTCTGCAACCTCATAAAAATATACGACCCCCCCCCTCTACAAACTCGTCAAAATGTACGACCCCCCCTCTAAAAACTCATCAAAGTACGACCCCCCCCGTTGCCTACTACTACTGTAGCAACGTAGGACCGACCCTTGCCCCGGGGCGCATTGGCCGGCTCAATTTTTGACGCCTGTTAGGTCTGTGCATCGCCCATCGATCATCTGACACTTTGAATAATGCTCCCTCTCTACTAGGGGAGATTGCCAGAGTCATTAGCGCCTAGCGTCAAGTAACGCCCTATTTATGTAATTTGTCCTTCATATCCTTTCCATTTTCTCATTTAGTGGATCTGAACCCTAACTTTTCCTTTGAGGCCTACTTTTTAAATTTCCGGATATCGCGCACGGTCGACTGTGAAACATCCCGCTACCCCTTCACTTGCACTGTTTGGTGATTGATTCCTTTGTTTGGACCAAAATACCGCTATTACAGGGCTCACGCGGAGGAACAGAACAAGCCCAGCAATGAAGTTGTTGCCGACCCAACACAGCCAGCAAAGGTGAAGCTTCGAAATACGTTTTTTGTTGCCATTTTTTGTTCCACTTTGGCCATGGCCCAGTCACTCATTCCACAAAGGCACAGGGAGGGTATGATAACCGGTATATATAAAAGCGGTGAGTGAACAGCGTCTGGGGAATGACATAGGAGGCGGTCCGACACTGCCTTTAGGTTTCACTGAAGTCTTCGTTTTCAGCACGCGGTAGCCCCTTGTCAGGCTTGCATTCAGTGAGAAACACTTTTTTGTTCCTCCTCCCAGAAGCACCATAGTTATTAGAGGCTCCGCTAGGCGCTTTTCGTTAAACTGGGAATCCACCTATCCAACAGCGATGTTGAACTGGCGCCAAATTTGTCTAGCTTGGTACAACAGCATCACCGAGAATTTGAGATGATCTCTAGGTCTATTGAAGTCCAAAACGTCAATAAGGGATGCCCAAGTAAGGTGATGTTCAATCATAGTCAAATGCAGGGCGCATCCCCTGTGAACACTGCGACACATCCTTCCAACATCTAAATGTTTTCTTTTAGCAGCAGTCATCTGAGAAAAAGGAGGGCAGTAATAAAGAACAGAAACAGGCTGAAGATGCACGGAACGAACCCGAGAAAGAAAACCAAAGCTGAAGGATCTGACTAGTGAAATCTTCGATTTTCTTTTAAGCTCTGCATCACCTTTGTTAGTATGAACGCCGAAAAATAATACGATTCAATAAATGTAAAGTGATCGCCTACAGTTGGTGTTGGCATGTCGCATCCCTCTGCACACCCCTCTCTAGCACCATTTTTTCATACACATGGAAATCGTAGTGAACCTGCTCTCCATTATTATCTCCACGAGCCTCTTCATCTAATCTGACTCGTGCGGACCGCGTCGCGCCGCCAGGACGGTGGGACGGCGGGAGGGGAAGGAACTGCCTGACGCGTGCCTAGACGAGACCCTCCACGCCACGGCCGCGCGGCCAACGGGGACTGAACGGACCAGGCAGACGTGGGGGGAACCACGGCGACGGTGTGTTGTTTACGGGGGACGGACCTGCGGGGGGGACCGTCTAAGAGTCCACGCCGCGCCGCCTGGGGATCCTTCTACCCCTTACTGTGGGACTGTCAGCACGGAGACCGCGCGGACGCCGTCGCTGGAGATGGGGTGGGGCCCCCACCAGACCACTCGCTAGAATGACGTGTCCGGGGGGGGACCTTCCACTGTCGACTGCGCGCGGCGCGCGGGGGGGACGGACCGCCGTGCGCGCTTACCGTTGGGCTGGCGGGCGTCTGCGTCGGGGACTCGGTGGGAGAGGACGCAACCGGCTCTGCGGCGGGAGACGACGTACCTGTAGATTTAGCCTGCCGCCTGACGGACGGACCACCCAGACAGCCCCTCTTCCTCGTTTCCGGGTGACGGGTGACCGGCTCGTCATGAGATCTCGCAACCCACTACTTCTCCTTGCCCCAATTTGTTATTCTTTATCTCACACCTTCGCGAGCAGCGTGACTGGCTCGCCTACCTGCATCGACTCTTCCCGTCAAGTCGGGGATCCGCTATCTCTGTCTCTGTCTCTGACTCTGGTGTTCGTTTCGGTCTGCGGCTCCCTTGCGTCGGCCCCTCCGCTGCTTCGACGACCGACTCGAGTACGTTGGTACCCTGGACTATCCTGCTGGCGTCCCCCTGAGTCCCTCGCTAACCGGCATCGGGTGTGCGGTTGACGTTTGTCCTTGCTCGCCTTCTGGGTAGTACGCTAGCCCACCGGGGGTGTGACCCCGTGGCCGTCCTAGGGCGGTCCGCGTGTGCGGTCGCGAGACCGCCAGTGCGCCCGGTGGACCCGGTACGCCAGCGCGGGGACTGTGATGGCGCCCCCCTCACTCCTCGACCCTTCTGTTCCTTCCCCCCAAAAATCCCTCTTTCTCCCGCCGCGGCGTGCCTCTCGTGGCAGCGCCGGACTCCGGGAGAGCAGCCGGCCTCGCAGCTCCTCCCCGTACGCGCATCACGGTGTGCACGCCTGCCTGACTCACTCTTTGCCCTGGGCGGCTTTCCGGCGCACTGTATCTCTCGACTGCCGGCTCGACAGCTTCTCCTGGGTGCTGGCGACTGCTCCGACTGGGGAATGGCACGCCAAGACAAGCATGTATCAACATTGAAAAAACTGTGGAAAGAGATCTCCTACAAGCGTCCACTATCGAAAATTCGGAATCCGTTATTCGTTACCCGTTGATTTGTGTTGGATGCCATCGTATTTGTGTTGAATTGTGGAACGGATCGTGTCGCAGGGGGACAGTCGTTTTCTTTGAGATTGCCGAGAGGTGTAACTGACAATTTTTATAAAATAAGCGTACTAGGAGTTGTCACCAGAAAAAAGTATTCCTGCTTCCTTGCTCGATAGCTAGATAGTTCCTCGTCGAGTTTGGGGGGGGGGGGGGGGTGCCATTCGGTTGGTGTCAAAATTAAATACTTTATATGTATACAGCAAAATACTCTGTAAATTCACAACGTGGAGGTGTCTGGAGGTCTGGAGGGAGGGGGTGGGAGGAGGGATGAAGCAGGGGAGGAAGGAAAGCGAAGGTAGGGTCAGAATTTTAAACTGGTTGGAGGTGACGGTTTATCATAGTCCTGCAGAAACAGAAATAGCCACATTTGCCCCAGTTTGCGTAACTTCCTAGAATGATGGTAAGAATGTGTCGGTTAGGTTTTTAAGATTTTACTCTCTCTGCTAAGCTTAGAATCCTGCATGAACAACAAAAACTTCTGAAAACTATAAGTGAATGATCAAGGGATGAAGCTGTCGACTGCTATCTTCGCGCTGCGGCGACACATTTGAGAGCTTTTACTGAGGGTTTCATTCTGTGAATAGCAATTCGTTCCATCGAGAGAAGGGTCCGGTTGGGAGCATCAAGAATCTTCGTATTCTCCTCCATTCCGGCGCTCTTGTTCGCCGCCACCTTATCCAAAACAGTTTTGAAGTCCTTTCATTTCTTCTTGCGCTCCCTGGTGGTAACATGCCTGATTCTTCGGCTTGTTCGATGCTTTTACTAGTCCAGCTGCTCAGCCTCACCTTCTCAACTTTGCCTCTAGGGTTCAAGAAGGTATCTCTCGACATCCTAATGTCAGGGTCGCCTGCTTCAATTACATATCTCACGCTGTTTTTCATACGAAGAATTGGCACGCAAGGTATCGGCGACGGAATACGAACAAATGACGAACGGCCAGACTCGAACAGATAGATTGAGTGCAGATAAAGGCACCTGTGTTCTGCTTCTCTGGCGCTCTTCGCGAAGTTTCGACAGCACGGGCGCTAGGACCCGCGCACACCCGGCCAGGCGCGACCCTTCAGATTGAAAATCGTACGGATGTCACGAAATGAATGAATTGCAGTCTGGGGTTTCGAAGCGTTTCTTGAAACAATGTTCAAGAGTAAAGAAGCTGCTGGCTATGTTGTTAAATGTCATCGCAGTGCTGGTCAGACGTGCACCATTGAATTTGGAGGAAATGCATGACAGCCCGGGAGTCACTTGAAATAGCGAAACATTCTACTTGAATGGTTTCTTGCACCAAAAAACACTTGCTATCCGCCTATTTCGTCATTCTTATTCTTGTTTCGTCTAACAGGTGCTTATAATCGTGATAAGGAAAGCGAATTTTTGCAGAAGATTTGAGATGAGTTATTTTGCTCCAACTGATCGTGAGTCGGAAGCGATCCGCATAAAGGACTTTACAGGAAGTACCAAACTGATCTTGAAGGTACTCATCTGCGAGAGGTGTAGAAGCACGACAAATGCTGTGAAGAGCAGCGCAACGAAGCACATTGTCTCTGAAGTTTGTCTCCGTCGGTCGAGTTGGTAGAAGGCAATCAACCCTGGGGTCACCTTACCTTTTACTTGAAGGCAGCGATTACGATAATTTGTAGGAGGGTTCAGGCAGACGAGGTGGTGCTCAGTGGTACGCCAGTGGCGAAAAAAGCAGAGAAATCCGTCAAGAAAACGCAAAACGGGACCCCTTTTTTGGCCGTTGGTTTTCACTCATGAACAGGTAACAGCTCAGAAAGCGGACGTATGAACGAGTTCACCGCAACGCGTTTGGTGGCACCATGCGCTCCAATCGAGTTGCTCCAGTTGTGCCGCTGCTGGCAACGCAGCTCGTCCAAATCACCAACTAAACTAGTGGGCGGATCGCTTTTGGGGGCGGAGTGCTTTCGAAGTCCTGCTCAGCAACCAGCGCACCTTTCGTCGTGAAAGCGCCACACCTCGCTTCCTTGGCAGCCAAGTAACTGCTTCGTGTGGTGCACATGCTTCCCCGATGCGCTTCCTCTTTTTCGTAATCGCTGCCTTTGAACAGAAGCGTACCTTCTCAAGAGCCTACAGGAGCACAATAACCTTCTAGAAAGCCAGTCTCTAGGAAGAGGTATTGTGTTGCTAGGATTCCTTTATACAAGATTAGAGACCTATGATTACCTCCTCCTTTGTCCGTAAATTTCGCCTTGATGGACTCTTATCGTCGCTCTTCTGCTGAAAGGCTAAGGTAAGATGGCACGGGTCCGTGTGCGTGCAGAGCGG